GTTTTTGGTAGTGGTAATATTAGAGCCTTCTTCCAATTTGAAGGAAAAACATTATTGGTGAGACAGTAATTGATGATATGGGTGAAATAAGGAAGAATTACTGGACAGCATAGAAGAATCATTTTGATATTCAAACCATCATATCCAATTGCATTGGTTCTTATTTGACAAAGAGTTTGGGATACCAAAGACTGGTCAACTGGGGATAATTTAAAGTTGGAGTCATGAAGTACATTACTATTATATTGGGATATAATATGAACTGATGGAGAGATATTAGGTAAGGTATTAACAAAAAAAATTATTGATTTCATCTAAATTTTGCAAATGAGGTGGAATATCAGCTTTAGCCTTCACGGGTAACTTTATTATTTTTTTATATGTTCCAGCATTGTTTATTATTAGATACACTGAGGTGGAGGTGGAGTTTCACAGTTCCTTATAAAAAATCCAGTGCTGGTTATTCCTCGTAATTTTGAATCCAGTAAGTGCCCTATCCCTAACTTTCATCATTTGTGAAAAAGTAACCGTTAACCAAGGTGCAGGAGGCTTTGTAAATCTACGAGTCTTAACAGGGGCATGTATATCAAAAAGCTTCTCCATATTATCCACAAGTATATGTAGTTTATCCTCAATATGGTATATTGAGTGATAAGATTCATCATTGCAACGAAAGAGAAGACAAAATTAGCCTGGAGAACCCATTCATGGGATAGACAGCTCTCTCACTGAAGTAATGCGCAAACGGTTCCAGTGAGGGATGCGAAGTGACGGGAAGAGGTTTTTAGCCAGTAAAAATTCAACACAACTACTGGTTATATATCACCAGGGGATGTCTAAGAGCACAAGATACTATGGAAGGAGAAACTATCAAAAGCAGAACGGCTCGCAAGTAGATCAAAGAATAACCTTCTGGTTTTTATTGTGGAATAATTTTCAAGTATGTAATGAGCTCTTGAAAAGGCTCTCTGCGAAAGAAAAACTCAACAATTTGTCTTTTGACTAGGCCACACTGGCCTACAAAATAATGAAGCTGCTGACCCTCTCGCAGGGGAGGTGCTACAAGCGATTATACTGGACCAGAACCTGTCATTGACATCGCTTTGAGTTTTGTTAAACAAATACTGGATATTGAACTGCAACACCAGTTTTAGTTCTGGTATAGTCTATCAGGATTGATCAATCCCAAATCATTTATACAGCATTCGAAATATATCACCAAACAATTTTTTAAATACACCAGGATGGCCTACGTTTCCTACTCACAGGTCACTGTCTTCTGAATAATTATATGAGGAGACTCAAAAGACAGTGCCTGTCGACTATGTTTGGAAGATTATCAAATTTATATAAATGATATCACTAGACCAGATACCTCCACATGTCTCGACCACTTCTTCGTATAAACAAATATAGAAACACACGACCGTATAAAGTCCTTTATCTTTCAAGATAAAATAAGCGACCACCGACCAATTGCTTTGACAATAGATATGGGCGAGAAAGTTGGCAACGAAACACCCAAAAATAAAAAAGTGTACATTAATTACAAAAGGTTGAAATTAGCGCTACAAACTGAAACATGGACCAACATCTATGAACAAAGTGATGTCCACTCAAAATGTGAATTCTTCATCAATAGACTAAAATATCATGTGAACAAAAATACAACTGAAATCAAATTGAAAAATAATGAAAAAGTTAGAAAAAAATGGATAACATTAGGGTTGTCAACATCAATAAGGGAAAAAAATAATCTTTACAAACTATCAATTGAAAACCCCAATGATCAACAACTCAAACAAATATACAATGATTACAAACGCAACTTGATTAAACTTACAGAAAAAGCAAAGAAACAATATTTCCAAAACGAAATCAATAAAAATAGTAACAAATCAAGAGGGCTTTGGGATAGTATAAATGAAATCTGCAATAAAACTTGTCCCAAAACAAAAATAACTGAAATTGTATTGAATAATGGTGATATAACGAAAAATAAACAGGTCATTTCTGATGAATTCAATA